AGTTTTTCATGATTGAAGGATTTTTCACATGAAATTGGCCTTGTGGTTGTGTTGGTTAGGCAGAAAACTTGTCCTTCTCGTGTATGCTCATGGATTGGGTCAATTTTTGGATATGGCTTTTGATATTCTCAAAAGATTGGGTGGTTTGTGCTTTGAAATCAATGAAAGCCTACGTGGACTAAGTGTTGTAGTTCATTTGTGTTTGGATGAACTGATTTAGTGTATCCTCAAGACTCCTCTTGTGTGGTGGTTGGTATGCTTGATATGCAAGAGGTCCTTGAGGTGGTGGTTATGAATTTTGTGAATTTATGGGAGTTGATTGTGTGTTCCTCCAATTGAAGTTTGGGTGCTTCCGCCACCCTGGATTGTATGTTTTAGAATATGGGTTGGAGTAAATCTTGTTGAAGTTAGAAATTGTATTTGTTTGCTCCAATAAGACCTTTTTAAATGCCAGAATTGTCAGACACTCCCTAGTAGGGTGTCCTGTTAGCGCACAAATCCCACGTACTTATTCTGTGGGAAGGCCAACATCAACTTGATGTACCCTTTTCATCTCTAAAGTTTCAAGCTTTCAAGACAGGGTGAACATTTTTGCTCGTAGGTCATCATCTTTTTTCAATACATACTTACCCCCTTGGGAAGCAAATGGTCTGAATTTAACAGTGGTAAGAGAGGCTGAGTCCCACATCTGAGAACTATCAGATATGGTGTGAAAAAAAATTGAATGCCTCATTCAGAATTATTTTCATGAACTCTCTTTGAGCCATTATTTCGACAAACTGACGTAGTCTAGTGGGCAAGGAGTCATAGAAAAATTCTACCAAAGTTCAATTCTCAAAAGCATGGTGTGGACCAGATTGGAGAAGATCTTTGAATCTCCCCCGACATTGTTAGAATTTTTCCCCTTCTTGGACTGAAAAATTCATGATTTTCCTTTTGAGTACATTGTTACGGTGTAAGGGAAAAAACTTTCTAAAGAATTCATTTTGTTATGCCTGCCAGTTAGGTATTGAATGAGATTTTAAAGAATTTAGCTATTATTTAGCTTTGTCTTTTAAAGAGAGAGGAAAAAATTTCAACTTGGCTAGCTCAGTGTTGTCTTGAAATGTTCCACATACTTCCTCAAAATATTTTATGTGCAGATATGGAATTTCATATTCGAGTCTATGAAATTGAGGACGTAATTGCACTGTCCTCGCCTTTATATTAAAGAGAGGCGCATTTGCAGAAAAGACAAAACAAGAGGGGACATTATTTCTTGTGGAATGTAAGTAATCCAGTAAAGTTTGAATGTTAGCCACTTTCCCCTCTCTCACAGGAATTTCTCCTTCTCTTTCATTATTTGTAATACTATTTGTCAAAAGAGTCTGTTGCTGATCTAGGTGAAGATGGTTCAGATTGATTCACAGACCGAATAGATTCTGCCGACAAATTTTTAAAGTGAGGATTGTCCTCAAACATAAAATAAAAATTATAAATAGTAAATCAAAACTATATATATATATATATATATACAAAAATGAAGGTCTTTTCACCTTTTTCTTAAAAACACTTCTTATGGCTCCTCACTAACAGTGCCAAAAACTTGACTTGATCCGAAATGTGTACACTCAAGTGCAGACGGTCAAACTGTAGTAATAATCCAGTTAAGTTTGGAGTCGAATCCACAAGGGACTATTATCGATGTTTCGAAGTAAGTAGTGACAGAGACCTAGTAATTGACCCTTGAGATTTGAAGTTATGAAATTTTCTAGATATAATATAAAATTCTTTCCTAGGGATTTTTTTTTGTAGACCAAATATAATAAATTATCAAATGTAACAGTCACCCTTTAGCTCCAGGATCTGAACATGTAGTTAATCATCCAGTTTATTATACTTGTGTTTGATAACTTAATTAACTTTTGTGTTAAAATAAAGTTAATCGGAAGATAAAGATGGATTGTGAGAATTAAGAGCATGATTCCGATGTCCTAGTAGAGGTTTACAAGAATTGTCTGTGCCGAGATTCAACCCTTCTACAAACAAGCGTCTCTACATGACATCCAACCATTGCATTAGTATTTCATTCTTTAAATGAAGCACAATAATGGTGAAAATTGAAGAGTAGTCATGCAGATCTAGTTGGGGTACTTGCCTTGAACCAATGGGTCTTTCTATGCAAGAGTCATCTATATCATAAAAAGCACTCACCGGTTGTACAAAGTACTTTAACTTTGCTAGATGAATTCAATCATTCAAAATCAAGTGTAATATAAAGCATTTAAGCATGAACGAAATGCACAAATATAACTTTCGGATGATTTATACATATCTATCACCTCTTACTTAAGAGTGAATGAGGAACTACTCACACTATATGACTTTGGTAAAGTTAAAAAAGTGAGTGATGCTCATTCCTCAAAGTAGAGGGGTTACAAGGTAAAACACAATACACAAGGAGCCAATCTTTGACGAAGAATGAGTGACGACAAAGAATGAGTGAATCTCGTTCCACCCTTCACGGCTTTGGTAAAGCTCTAGAAAAGTGGAAGATTTTCACTCCTCTAAAAGAAAAAGGAAGCTCAAACAATGGAAGCAAATGAAACTAAAACAAAATGAAAGTAGAAAAAAACTAGTCACTTTTGGAGGGTTTCCACCTCAACCAAAAGATGATCTACCTTCCTCTATGCAAGTAAATGTAAATCTAGTTCTAAGTCTACAATTAGCTCTAGCTCTATGTATCCTCCTTAAAGCTCCTACAATGGGAGTATTTATAGGTAGGCCTGGCAATCGTGTCGAGTGGAACGGTTTCGTGTCGGGGTGGAATGAGTTTGTGTCAAAAAACCTCCATACATACCCCATTCGTTTATATAAACGAGTCCAACTATCACACCTATACACGAATAATTTATTATACGGGTTACCCGATACAACCCGTGTGTCACCCGCTAAATACAAAAATATGTTAGAATATTTTGAGTACACACGAAAAATCATCAACTTACTACACATTACACATATTTGACTTGTTTATTTTAACAATAAATCATGACTGAGCAAAAACATAAAGATAAAAAATAAGCATTAAATGACTACTAAATTTAAATGAGTCTAAGAGATTGGGGGTGTGAGATGAGATAGAGGTTGAGAAACTTAAATTTTTTTAAAAAAAATTATAGTACCACTGTTAACAGGTTAAATGAGTTTTTAGGTTAAACATAAAATCGATTCATTTATTACACGGGTCTGTCGAGTTAACCCATTAACTACCCGAACCCGTTAAGACTACACTCAAATCTGCTAAATCCGTGTCGAATTCGTGTCGGTTTCAAGAGTCGTGTCTAAAATTGTAAGGCCTATTTATAGGCAAGGAGGAGGGGACAAAGGGGTGTGAAAGAATAGTGCAAGGCCTTTAAAGTCCAACTGAAAAGCCACCCACTCTCCAGCCTATCTGAGGACAATGTTCGAAAGTTGTCTCCTGTCTTTGCTTGATGGGCATTCGAACGCCAAATAGAGTTTGCACCTCCTACTCAAGTGGCCTATTTTCTTCTGTGAGAGCTACTTCCACACGCCATGTACCATTTCCCTTGCACTCAGCAACCTGGTCCTCAATAAATCAGGACAACTTTTGAACATGGATTGGCGTTCGAACGTTGTACTCAAGTACCTCTGTGTTTTCCTTCTTAGTTGCAGCACGCCATGTATCAGCACTTTAGCAGTCTGGTCTTCAAATAAGTCAAGAGAACTTTCGAATGTGGATTGGCGTTAGAACATTCTTGCCATGTTTCAAGCTTCTCCAATTTTCTTCCAGAACATGTTGGTGTTTGCATGAAAGTTTGATATTCGTTGCCTTTGGGCCATTGTACAATTTATGTCTTGAAATGTCATCATTCTCCATCAAAGTATAATTAGTCTTAAAAAAGGCATAGTAATATGTTAATTTTAACTACTAATCAGTACTTAACCGAAGCACTAACCGAGTTTAATTCGAGTAGGCACAGGTTGAATTCAGGTTACTGATTTCGGATTACTTAAATTGATTTAATTTTTGGGGGGCTCAATTCGGATTTTGTTCATTAAAGCCTAAAATAGGCATGTTGTTCTAAACTTGGTACATATATTACATAATATTCACTTAAATTAACAACCAACAACTTCAATCAAGTTTTTAACATAAAAACCATAATATTAAGAACTCAATGTTTGATATAATGCAACTACAATCAAAACTCAATGTTTAATATGAGCACATAATAGTAATTTAAAACAAACTTAAATAGAACACAAAGCAAAAAAAATTAAACCAAATGACATAGCCACAACCTAATTACACAGCCACTGCCCCATTGCCACCACAGCACAACCATTGCCCATTGCCACCACAACATAACCATTGCTCACTGCCCACAAGAACCACTTACACTTTAGTCTCATTTCACTTATAAAAAAAATAAGATTAAAGCAATAAATGAGTAGAAGAGAGCAATACTACATGCTAAAAATCCTTTTTTAAACATGAAGCAAAATAGATGAATCTCCAACACTCAAATTTGTACTATCATCCACGAACACTACAAAATAGAGAAATGAAAGAGCTTTAAGAAAGACAAATAGATTATATAAATAGAATATGACAATATGTTACAAAAATACCTTTATCCTTCTCTTCCATATCTTCTAACTTTTCTTCTATTTTAACAGGGGATGAATCTCTCCTTAGCCAATCTTGGGCACAAATCAAACTCTCAAAAATATTTGGAGTTGAAGAACTAAGAAATGGATCAAGCACATGAACCTCCTGTGCCAAAAGCGGACTCCAAAGCCACAGTTGATATAGGAATTTCTAAAATATCATGTGCCATGTGAGAAAGCACACGATATGAAGAGGCTTTTTCTTTCCACTTTTTCAAAATATTGAAAGTTTGTCTTGATTCATTCCCAAACTCAACGGCATCATCCAAGCAACGTTTTAACTCCGATTTAAGGACTTTGGTTTGCTCAATTTCTAAGAACATACCTCAATCCACTACATCTTCATCAAGTACAACATTTGGGTCATCTGAAATTTCTTTTCCAACATTAATGCCTTCTTTTGATGCATCAACATTCTTTAATGAAGCTAATTCAACCGATGAGTAATGTTCATACAATTTATCTAACACAACTTTCACCTTTTCAATCAACTCATCAACCTCATCACGAGTATAAATTTTGGAAAGTTTATATCTCAAAAATGTCAACTTGTAACAAGGATCCAACACTATCGCAATAAGCAACAATGGATTAATTTTGTCAAGATCACAATACTTCTTAAACTTCAACATCATTTTTCTTGACATCTCACAAAAGAATACATTGTCACTACTCAAGCACTTATGTAATAATACATGGATCCTCATCATTTCATGAAAATAAATGTTCGAAGTGACATATTGTGACCCCAACACACACTTTGTAACAAGATAAAATTGTTCCAAAAATTTGTGCAAGTTTTTTGCTGCCAACCAATCATCATCAGTAGGAGTCCAATTCTTAAGTTCGAGCGTGAAACTTCTATCTTGCTCTTCCAACTGCTCAAAAGCTTGTTGGTACTCAAGAGCGGTGTCAAAAAGTAGAGTTCCAATGTGTTGGCACATCCAAACAAAAATATTTCTTATATGGAATCTTCTCAATATCCACACATTTCCTAAATATTTGATAGCGGGAAGGGAAACTCCTAACATATTTCACAACATCACGAATGCAAACAATAGCACTATTAACTTCATCAATTCCATCTTTCACAAGTAAATTCAAAACATGCCCAAAACACCTAACATGAACCATAGGACCATCTAACAACAACCCATTGTGTTTGGTCAACCTCTTTTTCAGAGATATGGTGTGGCACCATTAGAACTTGCATTATCTATGGTCAATGTATTCACTTTATCAATCCCCCACCCCCAATAAACAAATCTCCACAGATTGTGCAATAATTTCACCATAATATGGGCTTGGAAGAACATGGAAGTTGATAATTCTCTTTGTAAAATCCATTCTTTGTCAATGTAATGCACAATGAGACACATATACCAAGGTTTTGAATGGAAGTCTACAAATCAGTGGTAAGACAAACACATGATGCAGAAGATTCAAAGACCAACATCAATTTTTTTCTCTCAGTTTCATAAATATTGATGCAATCTTTGGTGATTGTAGTTCCAGACACCAAATTAAACCTTGGTTGCAATACATTAAGAACTCTTTAAAACCTTATTTCTCCACAACACTAAAAGGCATTTCATTAGTAATTATCTTCAAGCAACCTCTATCCAGCCAGCTTCTTGATCAAATTTTCAATTAATAATACTACCAGTAAGACCACTTGCACATGAAAATTTAATCAATATTTGATTAGGGTCTTTTATTCTTTTCACATTTCGTACACTTGACAAAGTGTTGCCGAATTGTACTAGTTTCTTGTGAACTAGCATAATGAAACGTCTTTTTGCAATGGTTACATTGTACCTAATCAAGTTTTGACCCATCTTTTTTTTTTTAATTTTTGTGAAATCATGCCAAACATCAAATTTTTTGGCGTTTGGGACTTACCGAGTTCCCCTCATCAGGGTTGCTAGAAGTAGGCTCAAATGCAAGATTAGCCACATATTTTGCATTTATCTCCCCTATTAGTGACATGCGTTGATTTATTGTGCCATAAAATCAAAGAACATAACAAGGTTAATTATCAATTTATGCAACTAAAACTGAAATATTTGACTTGAACAAAATCTAAAAAAATAATTTTAGACTGAAGTTTGACCTTCTATTATTTACCGAATTTCTCTTTTGTATAAGAAAAATGATCTGATCTGAGATTCGTGTAGCAGTTTTAGTTGTTTGAAAAGAAAAAAATTTAAAATTTACTTCTTAGGTCATTTTAAATTTACAATTGAAAAAATCTGAAAATAAAATTTTGCACTTGAAAAAAATCTAAAAATGAAAATAGAATAACTCTGAAAATTTGAAAATAAAAATAAAAATTACATAACTGATTTGATCTGATATGATCTGAGATCAATGAAGGGAGAGGCGTAGATCTGATCTAAGATGAGATATAATTTTTTGGAATGTAGATCTGATTTTTTCAATTGGTCTGACATGAAGAGAGAGTCGCGGATAAAGGGAGAGGGAGTGAGAGAAAGAGACAGAAAGATGGAGGACTAATGAGTGAGAGAAGGGAGGAGTGATGAGTGAGAGAAGGAGGCTGAGACTCTGAGATGACTAAGACGAGGAAGCTAAGAGAGGGAGGAGGTGCAAGGGATAGTAAGATAGGGATCTAAGAGTGGGAAAGATTGAGAAAGGGATTTGAGAGTGAAAGAGTGATCTGAAAGTGAGGGAGGTGCATAAATGAAAATATGAAAACTGAAGGGTTAACCCTGATAGAGTAGTAGTTAAAATATATTTATTTACTTATGTATATCTGGGTTAAACTTGATTTAATATTCAGGTTAAACCTGAATATTAAACCCGGCAACCCGATGTATCAACCTGAGGCCTACCCGAATTTAATTCGGGTTGGATTTTTTGGCCTAGGCCCAACCCAAGTATTAAAAATTCTAACCAAAGTCCTATTTTTTTTAGATTGGGCTCGGGTTGAATTTGGGTTAGCCTGCTTAAGTTGCACCCCTAATCATGGGCACGCCAATGATCCTAAGTATGCACACACCAATGGGTTTATCAAACTATCAAGATATTTTTCTCCAAGTTGTAAGATTGGGTAGAATCTCTAATGGTCGCCTTTTGGGTCTTTAGAATCTAAGTTGTGGTGGAAGCTCTCAAGGTAGAAAGATGATTTTTTCTCTTAGAAATCTCACAAGAGGCTTAACCTAGGTGTGAGAAATGATCTCCCTATTTATAGGTCCATAATAAGGGTAGTCTTAGTAAATAAGAAAATTCAGATTCATGAACATCCACTCGATCAGTGGGAGGGAAGTCATAGGATGATTGTCATTGAAAAGAAAAACACATTCCAATCTTGACTAAGTCAATCACCACTTGAGTGACCATAAAGGACCGCTCGAGCGAGTTCATAGAGCAAGCCCTATGATTTCTTACGTGGCATTTTCTCATTTCATTCCCTAAGTCATAAAAAGACCACTCTAGTGAAGGCAAGCGAGCATAGATTGGTTCCTATAGGTTTTTAAGCATAAAATTATGCAAAAACTTATCCTCTTGAGCACTAAAGAGGTTTTGCTCAAATAGTGGTCCAATTGTGACTCAAACTATGTTTTCAAAACTCATAAATTTTTTAAAAAATCTTTTCTTTTAAAATCACCTAGGAGTTATAATCGGATTGCTTTCAATTTCATTATCTTCCAAATCAACCTAGGTTAAAAATAACTAAAGGTTCATCTTAGGTATCTTAGTCATTATCTTGTCCTAAGCCTAGAGGTGCATTCAGAGGTTGAATGATGTTATTTTGACGTTTGATCTCCTTTCTTCAATGATGCTTTTAGATCTTAAACTTGATAGCATCGTGATCATATAATAGGTTGAGATTTACAATGAACTTCATAAAATTTGTCAATTACAAATATGATCTAACACGTATTTGATGATGTCCAAGGATCGGTAGCATCGGAGGTTCACTAGTCATTGCAGAGATAATACAGAGTGAGAGAGAGAAGAGAGGCAGAGAGAGGAAGAGAGAAATTAGGGCATTATACAAAGTTTAAAGAGAGAATAGGGAAAGAGATGTCATTAGGACATGTATGAATCCACAGTGATTTACAATAGAAAAAATGTGTGAGAGAGAGAGAGGGAGAGAAGGAGGAGGAGGCGAGAATTAGGGCAGAGATGGAGGAGTGAGGGGGGAGAGAGATCCGAAGAAGAGGGGGTGATAAAAAATTGAAAATTTTGGCTGGGATAAAATATTTGGGAATAAAAATGATATGAGAAAGAAAGGATATTAGGGGGACAATTCAATTTGTGTGTGTGAAAGAGAGAGAATTAAAGGATATATTGGAGATTCTAATTCAACTATAGGGAGGCTCACTTTGGAAAGGAGATATGGAGGTGAAACAAAACAGATTTGGATACTAAAGAAATTAGGCAGATTTTAGGGGTGATTGAGGTAAGCAAAAATAAAAATTTTAAGGCAGGAAAAAATATTTCAAGAATCATTTTGGTTCGTCGGATCAAAAATTATGAAATAATTTGAACTTTTTTTTATATTGGGGGCAACATAATCTGTCAGATATGTCTTTGTTTTGTCTTGAAATGATTTAAACTGTTCTTTGTCTTTAGGAATCAAAACTCTACCTACTTTTTTGTTTATATATATATATATATTGTTGTGATATAGATCCATAAAATAGAAAACTGATGTGTTGATCATAGTTAGTGTATGAATATTACAATATATTCAATTGGTCTCTCAATTATAGAATTTAGGACACCACTTATTAGGTAGTCTATTTGGTAATTTATACCATATTTTGATATTATAGTTAGGGATTTTTGTGTCAACTTACACGTACTTCGACTAATTCTTTCTCCAGTACAGTCAAAAGTAAATCATCCAAATCGAGCAAGCTTTGAACTTAGAACGTCTAGATTTACAGCTCATCTATCTCCCCCTAAGCTATATATTATTTTAGCTATGAAAGACTATTGCCCATGCTGAAAAATAGTAACTATTATTGTCTTCAACTCTCACAATCAAAAGGCCGAGAGTTAAATCTTGTCAAAATCAATAACTAATCTTCATGTCTCTTTTTGTAAGGGTTTTATTTTATAATTATGGTAGAAAAGTCAAAAAAGATGTTAGTCAAATTGAATGTTATAACTGTAGTAAAAAAAGGACTTTACAGGACTCAATGTCCAGTAAAATCGAAGTTAAAACAATTAAACACATCTTCAAAAGACAAAGACAAAGTATTAGCAATTTTTAAGTTAAGAAAATTAAGTTCAAAAGAAGAAAATTCAAAAGAACATAGCCATCTAGAAGTTTCTTCTGACTACAAATCAATTAATAGTAATTCTAGTGATCCCGACATTAAATTAGTATGTCAAGATAATTGTTGTAAAATAGTTAATGTTTAAACAAAACACATTGAGGAAGAAAACATCCTCATTGATCTCATCAATAAAATTGAATATCCAGAGTTAAAAATAAAATATATTAAAAAACTCAAAAATCTTTTTGTCAAACAAGACATTAAGGAATCTTTTAGTGAAAAACAGTTAATAAGTTTTAACAAAACCATGGAAAGA